ATCACCCCCCAGGGGGGATGGTCACGCCGCAATCCCTTCTCCTCCATTCTCCTCTCAGGATCTTGGGCACGCATGCACACGCGCCTGGCGTGAGTTCTAAGCCACCGGGTCCAGGACGCGAACCGCAATAGACTACGTGGGAGTCCAGCGACATAGCCATTACACCAACTGCTGGTTCCCCATCCATTTCATTTTTACATTGAGGTAGAGATCATTTGGAAACACTGCAAGGACACCTTGACTCGTGTGGGAAACATCTTGTAGGTTAGCTGACACGCATGCAGTTTTCAGGGCTGGATGGGCAGGCGGCAGCAAAACGAGGTGCTCTGTGAAGCCGACCACATGGTCAGGTTCCAGGTTCACGTCCTGGGACCTCCCTGAGTACACGAGGCAGGCGCGTGCCCGTGAGCGGGGGGCTGGCTGGAGCCGGGGGTGGAGTGTGTCATCAAGACACTGTCAGACACTGCTTCTCTCTTCGCTCTTAAGAAAGAAAGAAAGAAACTTCGAGAAAAATGCACACAATTTTGCATGTTTACTTTTCCATTTAAAAATGTTATTAAGGGTACAGGATGAGAGTTCTCATTTCACTCACTGGAAGGAACATAGTTTTGCTTATTTTAAGGAGCTACTTAACTTAGTAACAAGACCATTTAGGAAAATGTGACTCTTGATAAACAAGATGATTCAAGACAGCCTCGGAAGTGGAAAGAGCCATAGCCCAGCTGCCTAAGAGTTCAGACTGGGGTGTGAGTGGTGACCTTGTCAATTACCAGCTACGACTGAGCAACTCGCTGCCACTCCCTCAGCCTCTTCTCCAAGAGAGACAACGCTCGCCCTGCTTTTCTCTTTCGTGCTTTTGGACACTATTACTAGCTACTGGAAGTGAAAATGCTGTCCAAACTGTAGAGAACCCCACTCCCACGAAGTCCCAGTGGGTGAGTGAGCACCCTTGCACAGCTGCCTCTGGTGTCCTGCTCCGAGAAGCTGGGGAAGTTGAGCTAAGACCACCGTCTACACGCGCCGTCCTGAGTACTCCAGACCTGGTGCCTTGAAGGGCCAAGATGCACAGAAGGCTGTGCAAGACACCCATGCGTGGAACATGGGTGAGGGTGGGCTTCCCCAGTGACTCCGGCGGTCAGAACGCAGAGCCGTTTGAAGAAGGCTGACGGCAGCGCTCCAAGTGAGGAAGAGCAGAGAGGGTGACTTCCTCGCTCCCTCGTGGGAAGGCCTGCTGTGTGCCACTTCCGAGCAGGTGCAAGCTACTCAGTGATGCAGCTGAAGGGCCATATCGTTTCAGAAGTGCCGTCCAGCTCCTCTCACCATGCCTCCTTCCTTCCCCCCACACCTTTGCCCCCGTTGTCCTCCATGGGAGAAGGAGGGAGACAAGGGAGAGGAGGGCCTGGAGGGATAAAAGAAGAGCACCAATTCAGCTCCTTTTATTTCTCTATTGCAAGCTGTGCTGCTGAGTTAAAAATATATAATTTAGTTTTCAAATCTATTTCCAACCCTACCTGGCCTACTGAGCAATCACAAACCATCCCATTTCGATTCAGATCTTTGCTTTTTGCTTTATTTTAAGTGGAACACAGCGAAGTTGTATAAACAGACAGAAAGCGAGGGCTCCACCAAGAGCAAAAGTAGGATTAAAGGAGCCAGAAAAAAAAAAAAAAAAAAAAAAAAAACCCCCTATTAATAGCATTCTGGGCGACATCTC